TGTGCACTTGCTGGGCCTATGTGGGGAGCTCCCGGGGCTGGGATTCAAACCATGTGGTGCACAGCACTCACCGGCTGCACTAGAGGGTCAGCTTCGGGTTATTTGTTTGAGTATTCAAGGCCAGCTCCAAGGCTCAGCAGTACTGTACTGCTCATGACAAGCCAGATCCCGCATGGCAACTGTGGTTCGAGTCCCCAGCCCGGCCAGCCTGAAACATACCCGGCATGCACATGAATGCCCAGATCCAGGGGCTGGGTGGAGGAAAGGCATGCGGTGTGAGCAGACCTGTGGAGGTGGGCGTCTCGCTCTCCCCTGCCCCCCCATGCACACACATCTGTCATGAATAAAGCAGACAGTCCAGAGATGCTTGCGTTCCTTTCACCCAGCTCCCTCAGATGGTTATGTAACAGAACTGTCAGGAAAACAAGGGCATTAACGGCGATTCGAGCCCTGGCGGCCCTGGCGGCCCTGCAGCCCACGTGGGAGCCCAGGCTGTCTCCTGCGGTCCCATTCGACGGCATGTTCTCAGTCTCCTGCCAGGGACGGCCCCTCAGTCTGCCTTCACCTTTCGTGACTCTGTGACTCCGACACCGTCAAGGAACACTGGTCAGGGGTCAGGGGTCAGGGGTGTTTTAGAATGGTCTCAACTTGTTTTTTTCTCTTTTCTTTTTTCTTTTTTTTTTTTTTTTTTAGAGATGCTTGCTATTAGGTACATGCACTCACTAGAGAGACAGAAAGCAAGAAATCATCCCCCAAGGGGGAATAGCCACACCACGATCCCTTCTCCATTCTCCTCTCGGGATTTTGGGCACGCACACACACACCCACACATGCCCAGTGTTGAGTTCCGAGCTGCTGCGTCTGGGACTTAAACCGCGGTCAGCCGTGTGGGAGTCCAGCGCCTTAATCACCATGCCACTTCTTGGCGTGCCATACATGTTTTCAGTTGTAGGAAATTGATGTGTTGGTGGACCCAGGGATTCTGTCCTTGCAAGGCTGGTTCCCTTTTTGGTGGGGTCTGGAGTTAAGCTCCCAGGTTCTCTGAACCGGTGTCCGTGCCTCCCAGGCTGCAGCCACTCCCTGCAGCCGCTCAGCGGGCGGTGGCCCTCAATGTCCCAGTGCGGCCAATCTGGACCGCGGCTGGCACACCCACCACTCGAGGACAAAGGCAACTTTGTTGCTGCCCACCACGCCTCACCCTGGCCAGAGGAGCACTCCGAGCACTGTGGGGAAGCTCAGCCACCAGCCTGGGGCCCCATCGCAGGACGCACGTGTCTTCCAGCCATGTCGCCGGTCGTGGGCACACGGCTGCTGGCCTAGTGGCAGCCTGGGTAATGCCGCTGATGGTGGCCCGGCAGTCCGACCCGGGGCTGACTGCGACACCCCAGAGCTTGCTCTGCAAGCCCTCCTGGCAGAGGCTCTACAGCTTGCTAAGAGGGCAGTGGTGTGTCTTCTGCCTTTTATTTCTGACAAAACGTTGGCCAGGGGAGCAGCAGGTGGCGCAGTGGTAAAGGTGCTAGATTCCCATGTGGCTGACCGTGACTCAAGTCCCAGACTGGGCAGCTTGAAAATCAGGACCATAAAACAACTGCCCGAGGGCGCACTCGCCAGAATAAAGCAAAGGGACGGAGGAAGAGAACACGCCCAGCAGGTGCGTCCGTGCAGTGGCTCCTCCCTCTCCCCCCCTGCCACAAGTTGGGACACGTGCGCACGCACTGGCAGTCGGCCTTGTGGGGTCCCGGGGCTGGCCTGGCCTAGCCCGTGCGCAGTCTGCAGGTCTCGCTTTCTCAGCTCCCCCAGTAGCAGGGTACCTCCCCGTCCCAGGGGCTTGGGACCTTCATAGCGCCAAGTCCTCTCCCCCTAGAGCTCGGCTGGCTTCCTTCCAGCACCCGGGGCTCGGTCAGATGCCACTTCCTAGAGACCTGCCGGGACCCCCATGTCTAAGGCCTCGGCCCACCTTCCCAGCCTACGGTGGCTTCTTCCCAGCTCCGACCTCACCTCTGACTGGCCGGGATGCCTTCCACAGACTGCCAGCTGCCCGGTCAGGGCACCGACCCTCTTGCACTGCCACCGTGTCCTGTGCTAGTGCCACGCCTGGTCGTAGCAGGTGCTCCAGAAATGTCTGCAGAGAGCCGTCCCTTCTGAGGGACAGGCCCAGGGTGGCGGTAAAGCCACATGGACCCAGGGCCTCCCTGAGGCCAGCAGTTCCAGGCCCCCTTGGACTCTGTGACCAGGCGACCCTACAAATGGGCAGAGAGGAGAGTTTTAGGGTCCCTCTTGGCTCGCAGTGGAAAATCTCCACCAAAGCCGTCACTCCGGGCCACTACGCACAGACTCGTGCAGATGCAACATGGCCGCATCCCACCTCACCGGGGCGGTACCATCCTGCCTTGCCTGTCCCCATGGCCATGTCCCACCTCACCGGGGCAGTGCCACCCTGCCTCGCCTGTCCCTGGCAGCTGTCCAGATGGCCAGTCGGCTGCTGTGGACACACCGTCTGCGTCCCAACCCGTTCTCAAGGACGGCTCTCCACACTGGCACGGCCTGGTCAGACACAGGAGTGTGACACTTCTGCGAGTCCTCCCCACAGAGAATGGCAAGCAGCTGCCTCCACGCCCAGGCCTCGGCCGGCAGGGGCTCTCCGTCCTCGTGCGGCTGTGGCAGCCTCAGCCAAGCCATGCGCTCGGCGTTGACGGGCACTCAGCGGTCGCCTGGCTCCTGGGTGGGTGCCGTTTCCTGCACTGCCACGCCCAGGCTGGGGACAGCGTCCCTGTCCGTCACAGGTGCGGCCCTCTCTTCTCTTGCTCCGTGTCCCTTTATTCCTTAGCCGCAGTGTACACGCGCTCACACGCGCTCCTGTGTGCTGGGAGGAGAAACAGGAGCGTGAGAAGCCCACCCCCGCACACCCGGGCGAAGGCCACGCCGCAACCCCTCCTCTCAGGACTTTAGGAATGCATTCACGTGTGCCCGGAAGATTTCTAAGCCAGGTCTGGGACTTGAACCGTGTTGTCTGTCATGTGGGATCCAGCTGTCTTCACCACCACGCCACCAGCTGGCTCAGCTTTGCCCTTTTATTATTACTTTTTAAGGTTTTTGCCGTAAGAGGTCTGGACTTGCTGGAGACAGAAAGACAGTGAGGGAAAATGAGAAATCACCCCCGGGGGGATGGCCACCGGCGATCCCTGCTCCATTCTCCCAGGATCTGGGCCACGCACACACTCGTACCCGGTGTGGCTTTTCAAGTCTCTGGGTCTGAGATTTGAACCATGGTCAACACGTGGGAGTCTAACACCTTAGTCACTAGGCCACCTGCTGGTCCTCGGCCGCCGTATTTTATTTTAGCTAGAGAGCAAACACACTCGGAAAAACCACCCCACCCCCGCCACAGGGAAGGCCGGCACGCCCTTCTCCATCCCCCCCCTCCGGATTCTGGGTGTGCACGCGTACGTGCCTGTCCTCAGGCCGTAGGGTCGACGGCCAGTGGGCCCTGGAGCTGGTCCAGCTGTCGCTACTCCACCTCCCAGGAGTCCCGCCAGCCCGAAGAGGGAGGCAAGAGGAGCGGGAGAAGCCCGAGGGGGCTGCCCCCACCCTGTTCTAGGCCATCCGCTAAGCCCCCCATGCAGTGTGACCAAGTCAGGCAGACCCACCAGAGGACACTGCTCCTACAGTACACCGGGGAAGGACCAAACCCGACTCCAGAGCGAGCCCTGGAAAAGCAGAGGCACGAGGTGAGACAGGACCCCCGAGGCACTGTGTCCACCTTCTCGAGGAGACGCCAGGCTGTGGCAGGCCCGAGGGGCCAGGCGGGCTGCTCTGTCCCGGCAGGTGGGGGGGAGCCACGCTACATCCCGGAGCCTCCGGCCACACCAGCCCCGCCGCCTAGGCAGGGAGACAGCAGCCCAGACTCAGCCACCAGGCTCTGGGCAGGGCGGGAGTCACGAGCACAGGCCGGTTCCATACTAGCAAAATACTTTTATTATTTTTATGATAAACAAGGAAAGTAAAGATTTCTTTTTGGTGTATACCAGAGTTAAGGGAAGTAGAAGAATAAGGGGGTTAATAGGGTTTTATGTACTCTGCCTGACAATAAGAAGTTAATACCAACAGTTTGCCATAAAACTTATAGCTCCCCCAAACACATATATAAAGGGTCATAGTTTTAAAATCTATAAAAGTAAAAAATATACAGTTGAAAGCGCTAAGGCTCACCCATCTTTAATATAAAAGTGTAAACATTTATTTACACAAAGCGAACGTGTGGAGCCAAGTCCGAGCACCCTTTTCTTCTGAGTCGCGGCTCCGGGAGGACGTGGGGACTGCACAGAGGCAGCGCCGGGTCCTCCCCCCAGCCCCGATTCATAAATAAAGCCACGGCTCCGGGGGGTCACAGTATCTTATTGCTGACGGGCAGCCAGTGAGGAGCCACGTCTGTGCGGCCACCCCAGGACTAAGGCAGAGCACAGGGCTCCTGGGGACAGAGGCTGCCGGAGGGGGACCAGGTGAGGAGCGAGGATCTGTGACCAGCCTTCAGCCCCATTTTTGGTAGAAAACCTGCTGACATCGCCCTCTTCCCCTTCAGATGGGGAGCTCACTCCGAGGGTGGAGGTCTTCTCTGGCTGGGCCTCCCAGCCTTCTCCGCGAGCGCACGGAAGGCAGGGAGGTCTGGAGAAGTGGCTATTAGAAAGAGGGTCTGAGGGTCCGGGGTACCCCCAGTGACAAAGGCACTACCGGTGCAAAACAATTACCAACATGGGACCCTTTGGCCCTGCAGGGCGCGGCTGGCCACGTGCGTTCCCTGGCCCAGCGCGGCAGCAGGCCGCTCTGGCTCTCCGCACCGGGGCCTGGGCCAGCCCCCGCGCTCCCCACGCTGCTCTCCCTTGAGGGTGGCCCCCTCCGCCCTTGTCTTCCACAGACAGCCCCACGTCCTAGTCCACTCGGCGGACTCTCGGCTTAGTCGAGCCCACTCATTGAGACCTCGGGAGAGAAACCCACTCAGCCCACTCATTGAGACCTCGGGAGAGAAACCCTTTGGGGTCTTCAGAAAGAATGTGTTAGTGTTATAAAGCAATCTCTTGAGAAAGTGCAAGTCATGTGATGTGGGTGGCAGAAGTGGCCAAATGAAGTGGAACTCCTGCACTGGGCCGGCCTGCAGCCTCTTCCAGACCCTTTACGATGCTGGGCCCCTAAGAACTCCAGCGACTCCCCCCAGAGAGGCGGGGAGGCGAGACAAAGGCAGTGGGAGACCCGGGAAGGGCCCAGGGGAACCTGCATGGCCAGGCAGCGCCCACACGCCTCCCGGGCTGTGGACGACTTTCAGGGAAACTGCAGAGGGTGGGGCTCCTAACCCAGGACAAAGGGACCCAGATCTCCTCCCAGCATGTAGCTAGGGGGTGCAAGCTAAGTCCTCCCGAGTGTGTGGCAGCAGGAGGGCTGGCACTGCGGGAGGCGGGAGCCGCTGGGAAGTCCTGAGTGGGCGACGGCCACCACCGCCCTGCTCGGGCCTGGGGCGGGCAGTCAGGGCTGCACTTGCGGAAATGTCTCCCGGCCACCCCTCCTCCCCTGAACGCTGACAAAGGGCAGGGATTTAAAAGTTCCTAAGCAAAAACAAACTCAAGGGTCCCCATGCCACTTACCCACTTAAGCCGCCACCCATCCCAATCTATTTAAAATTAACATAAAAAATATTTTTCTTTGCTACAAATTGCAAATAATCCTGCTATATAAAGTTGCGATAAAAACTTGTCCTGAGAATTTGGGCAAGTGGCGAAATCTTGGATTATGCCAATGCGATGGCACGGGTCACGGGCCTGACACTGTGGGGCTTCACTGCTGTCACCGAGGACTTTGGTCATCTGGCGGAAAGCCACCGGAGAGCCTGTCCCGCTGTCCTGGCCCCAGGGACTGATGCCAGCAGAGGGGCTGGGGCCAGCCCCATGGGCCACACGTGCTGGCCTGGGAGCTGTGGGCCGCACATCCTGGCTGGGTGGCCGCAGTGGGCTCGGGATCCGCCTGCCCAGCTCCCCGGGCCACAGGCTTCGGGTCCAAAGTAGTTGCTCTTTCTTGGCAGAGAAGGCGGCTGCAGGATGTGTGAGCTCTACACCGCGAGTCCCTCCTTACTGAGACCCTAAGAAGTCATCCAGCTCGCTGATCCACTCCTCTGACGCCCTGTTCTTCAGCAGAGAGTCGATGAGGTCGGTGTGGCCAGCCACACTGGACAGTCCACTGCCACCCGGCTGCCCGCTGTAGGCAAAGGGCAGCTCTTGGCCCACAGTCCGCACGGGGAAGGCCTGGGCGCAGTGCAGCCCCGCCCGGCTGCCCATCTGGGAGGCCGGGCTCTGGCTGAAGGCTGCCAGTTCTGGGCCAGCCGGGCTCAAGCCAGGCAAGGCCTGCTGTGGGGCTGCCTGGGGCGTGGCGGGGGCAGGGGCGCTGGGCCTCTGCTGGGCGCTGGCCGGAGGCAGCATGGACCCCGTGGTGGCCGTGGAGCTCATGGGCGGCGCCAGGGGCCTGCTGGGCACCTGGGAGAACTGTGGGCTGGACACCTTCAGGTGTGCCTGCTGCATGTGGAACGCAGAGGCTGCGGTGAAGGGGCTCAGGCTGCCACCCCCCAGGGCCTGGCCACTCAGGCTCGGCAGGCCCGAGTGCTGCCAGGAGGCGTTCTGGCTCCCCATGGCTGCAGGCACCCTGGGGGCCTGGGGCTTGGCCAGACCGGAGTTCAGGGCCCCCTTACTGTGCTGCTGGGGGAGGCCGGAGGCCCCCAGGGCGCTCTGTCCATAGGCAGCCGGCAGCGGAGTGCTCTGGCCCACAGCGCTCTGCCGGGGGATGTGGGCGTGTCCGTTGCTGGTCTGTGGGGGCGGCTGGGCAGCCATCTGGGCTATGCCCGAGGCCATGCCGTAGAGACTGGTCTGGGGCATGCTTTGGGAGCCGGTGAACTGGGCCACGCTCCGGTCCTGCTGGCCCGAGCCTGAGGGGAGCGAGGAGACGGCCGTGTGGCTAGGGCCCACGGGCACCAGGTTCCCGGCCTGAGGGAACACTCGAGGGCAGCCAGAGCTGGATGGGCCCACGCTGTTCACGCCGGGCACAGCCGTCGGCCCTGCAGAGACAGAGAAGAGCCATCAGGCAGGCGGGCATTTCCGGACCACCGGTGCGGGGCCCACTGAGGTCCAGGCTGTGGCCCCTAGCCTGCAGACACGAGAGCAGACAGACACCAGATGCCCCATGGTCAGGGGACACTGGGGAGGACATGGAGGGGTGGGACGGGGGCCAGGTCTGAACGATGGGGTTCAGAAAAGGCAGGGGGAACCCCAGAGAGAAGGAACACCGTGGACTCAGCCATTCACCCCACAAACACCCACCGACCTGCTAGGTGTCTGCCAGGCACTGGGAGCTCCACTCGGGGACCCAGAGCTGCTCTGGGAGGCGAAGCCCACCCACACCCCGGCACAAGGAGACAGTGACAGGACGGCCTGGGGTCTTCCAAGACAGTGACAAACACATTGGGTTTTAACAGCACAGGGGTCTGGGACCAGGTGGCATGGTGGTCAGGACGCTGGACTCGCGCAGGGCTAACCGTAGTTTGAGTCCTGGACCTGGTGGCTTGTCTCACTCCCCTGCCCCCTTTGTCTCTCTCTGGTGAGCACATCTGCCCTACAGCAAATTAAATTAATAATAATACATTAAAATGAAAGAAAACAGTGTAGGAGTTTAGCACCCGGCTAGTCTGGGGGAGAGCATGTGCGAGGGTACAGGGCTGGCAGAGGCCATCTGGGGCGGTGAGGTGGCGGCGGGCGGCTGTGGGACAGGGGCCAGCTGGTCAGGGCAGATGGAAGAGCTGCAGATGCCACGAGAACGACAGGGCCGGGAAGCCGGAGCAGCTGGGCCAAGGCCGCGGTTCGGGCCGTCCTGCCGAGGGGCTGTGGCAGCTCGTCCCTGTGGGCGGACCGTGGGACACAGGTGACGTGTGGACCGGGAGGCTGACCACAGGGAGGTTCTGGGCCCATGTCTAGAGACTGCCCTGACAACGGTGAGCACAGGAGTGCCTGAGACCCAGAGCCACCTGAACCGGGTGGGCTGCGGGTCAAAGCCTGTGCAGTCTCTCACTTGTGGAAGACAGACAACGTAAGTCATGTGGGTGGGGCAGGGCATAGATGCAGGCCCGCGGGGAGGGGACGGGGAGCGTGGGAGGACCTTCCCAGGCCCCTTGGCTCAGCACACACAAGGTGGCCAAGCGGGGAGGAGTCCTGTGTGACACGGCCAGACACTCTGGGGATGTCTCCTGGGGAGACAGCACACACTGGGACAGACCTGTCCTCAGGGGTTGGCCATCCAGGGCTCCTGGCTAAGCAAGGCCGCATGGTGACAGCCAGACAGGGGCGGGACTTTGTGGGCAGGAGGGCCACGGCTTAGGGTTCAGCTGTCACTAAGCTCTGTCCCCCCCTTGCTCGCTCTACCACCACCTACTAGAGACCGGGCCGGGGGAGCTGAGTCCTGGCAGCCGTACTGCATTCGACAGGCCGAAGGCGGCAGATCTGCCAGGCAGCCCTCGAGCCGCCTTCCCGGGGAGTGCAGGCCCACATCCCACCCGCTCTCCTCCAGGACAGACTCCCGGGTCAGCTCCTCGCGGACACTGGACAGGGAGGGTCACTAGAGGAGTGGCCAGCCTCCAAGGGCTTCCAAGAGGAGAGAGGAAGGCAGCTTACAGAGCAGGCTGCACCCCTACCCACGCTGCAGCTCTGGAGTGACAGTCTATGCGGGTCCCCCGGCACACCTCAGAGGTGACAACTGAGACCTCGGCGGGCTTCCTGCGCTTTCCGGACCACTGCCCACAACTGCTGCTGTCATCTGAGACCAGTGGCCAGACGGGAGAGAGAAAAGCAGCGGAAGGCCACCACCAAGTACACCGAGTCTCTCCTTATTTGGAAAAAAAGGAGCCGGTCATTTTCTGAAGAGCCACATAAAGGCAGGAGGGAAGAGCAGACTTCCTTCCTTCTTCCCTCCCTCCCCCGGCTTTTGGCCAGTGGGCGGTGCAGTCGGCACGGCAATGAGAGGAGGGAGGAAGCACCCCAAAGGGGCATGGCCACACAGCAGCCCTCCCCTCCTCTCCCCACGCCGCCGGGGCTTGGGCACACACGCGCATGCACCCAGGGTCTCTGGTGCCTTGTCCAAGTGGCCAGGGCTAAGATCTGAACCCCGGTTGGGCTCAGAGCACCCAGCTACTTGTCTTTTTGTGGGGTTTTGCCATAGGGTGTATGTGCTCACCAGAAAGGAGCAGAGAGAAGAAAAATGAGAACCCCCCCAGGGGGATGGGTACATCACAATCCCGTCTCCTCCGTTTTCTTCTCAGGATTCTCGACACACACACGCACACACAACGTGCTTTTCAAGCCTCCAGGTCTGGGACTTGAACCATGTAACCAGTCATATGGGACTCAGGGCCTCAACCACTACACAGTCTGCCAGCCCAGGATCCAGCTACTTAAACCACCGGGTCTGTAAAGAACTTTATAAGAATTACAAAGCCATTTCCTATTGATGTCTTCCAACTAGAAATGATTTTGCTTCAAAAGACTGTATACCCAGGGACCCAGTGGAAGGCCCTCCTGGTTCCAGGGGGTCCCTAGGAAGCCAGGCCCTTCACCTCATTCAGCCCTCGCACAGCACTGCGGAGTGCAAGCCCAGCCAGCTCTGCACAGGGACCGAGGGCGAGCCGCAGTGGCCCACGGGGGTCCACGGCTCCAGACTCCTCACCTGGGAACTGTCCAACTTGTTGCGGGAAGGTGCTTTGTGTCGGGTCTTGGTACTGGGGTGGGGGACGGGTAAGATGACGCTGAAACTGCTGTTTCTCCTACAAAATGCCAAGAAAAATGACATAAAACAACAAAACCCACATAGAAAAAACAGAGTTAGGTCAGAGAAAAGTGTAGCACCCGAGTCTGTCATCCTCTGTGGGAATAACATTGGTGACCCCACTGGGGGTGTTTTTCCTTCGGAATGATTTGCTTGGGGCCAGCAGGGTGGTGGTTAGGAGGCTGAACTCCCCGTGGCTGGTGCAGTTCGAGTCCTGGACCCAGCAACTTGCTTTCTCACTCTCTCTCGTGAGTGCATGCGACCTACAGCAAATTAAAAAATGGTAATAAATGAAATTTTTAAAGTAAATTATTTAAGTTTATTTATTATTATTATTATTATTAACTTGACCAGAGGAAGAGAAAGAGGAAGGGAAAAGAGAGAAAACAAGCTGCCAGGTCTGAGATTTGAACTGTGGTCAGTCTTAACTCTCATGTCTACCACATCACCTGCCGGCCTCAATAAATACTTTTTTTAAAAAAGAATTATTTATGGGACCAGCAGTTAGCATAATGGCTATGTCGCTGGACTCCCATGTAGTCGACCATGGTTCAAGTCCTGGACCCGGTGGCTTAAACTCACGCCGGGCTCGTGTGCGTGCGTGCCTAAGATCCTGAGAGGAGAATGGAGGAGAAGGGATTGCGGTGTGGCCATCCCCCCCAGGGGTGATTTCTCGCTTTCTATCTCTGTCTCTGTCTTTCTGGTGAGCGTACACGCCCTATAGCAAAAACCTCACCAAAAAAGAAAAAAATTTGCTTTAGGACACATGTGCTCACTAGAGAGAGAAAGTGAGCAAGCTTCTATGTCTGAGACTGGAACTGTGTCACCCATGCGGGGGAGTCCAGCGCCTACCTACCATGCCACCGGGTGGCCCTGGAAGTTCTGAATAAGTAGTGTGGGTCAGCAGATGGCGTAGTGGTTACATCACTGAACTCCCACACGGCTGACTGGTCAGAGTCAGCCCAGTGGTTTAAAACTCACACTGTGTGTATTGTGTGCGTGCCCAAGATCCCAGAAGGAGAATGGAGAAGGGACTGTGGTGTGGCCATCCTTCTGGGGGGGTGATTCTCACTTTCCTTCTCACTATCTCTGTCTCGCTCTGTCTCTGGCAAGTGCACATGCTCTAAGGCAAAAGCTTCTAAAAATCAATCGATCAATAAATTAATAGGTGGTATGAAATGGATCTAAAGAGCAATGAATTAAAAAAAAAAATTACGTGGGGTCAGCCAGGTGGTATGGAGGTTAAGGCAGCTGGATCCCACATGGGCAACTGTGTGGTTTGTGTCCTGGCCCTGGCAGCTTGAAAAACACCAGGTGCGTGTGCGTGTGTGCCCAAGATCCCGAGAGGAGAACGGAGGAGAAGGCACTGCAGCAAGGCCAGGCCCCAGGGAGTGCTTTCTCACTGCCCCTGCCTCTGGCAAATACAGGCGCCCTGCAGAAAATGATGAAAACGAACGAACAAAAGGTTCTAGAACGGAGGGCAGCAAGGGAAGGTGGGCCGAAGTCACAGCAACACTTCACACCTGCTGGAGGGTGCTGACCAGGACCCAGAGCTCACGGGGCTGAAACAGCACAGGTGCCGCGGAGGACCTTCTGGCAGAAGGTGACATGTAAGAATTCCCAGGGATGGTTGAAGGGGAAACACGGCTGGTCTGTGCCCTGGAGTCTCCCTGTCCATGCCAGGCACACGCGCGTGCCCGTAATCTGGGCTGGCTGGAAGCGGACTGGGGAGTGAGGCCCTACTGGGGTGCCTGTCTCTCACTCGTAGAAGGCGGGAACAAATAACTCCTAAAGTGGGGTGTCCGAGCACCAGGCACACAGGCACAGCTGGTGGGGCCGGGTCCCCTCCACTGGTTTTACCTGTTCTGCCAAAAGCTGCTGCTGCCTTTGGAGGAACTGCTGCTGCAGCTGCTGCTGCCTCTGCTTCTGCTGGTCCAGGAGCAGCTGGTGCTGCTTCATGACCGCTGCCTGCTGCTGGCCACTCAGATAGGGGGAGCCGTGTGTGCTGGCCGCCGACACGGCGGGTGGCTGGCTCCCCACGCCGGTGGCCTGGGCAGGCACGGAGACGCTGGCAGGGCTCTGCTCCTGTCAATGCAGAGGAGAGGGCCTGAGTCAGGGGGGACAGCCAGACCAGAGGAGCCACCGCGAGCCCGCTTGAGGCTAACTCCCACACCAAGCTTCCGTCCTCCTGCGGACCCCAGTACCAGCCCGCCCCGGGGCTGGGTGTCAAGGTGTCACAGGAGCACCTGACGGGTGTCAGCCTCGCTCCCCGTGACTCGCAGTGGCAAGGGTAGGACTCCTACTAAGCCTCTCTGAGCTCTCATACCCACACACAGTCCCAGTGCGCAAGGGAGACCTGTTGATGTTCACCCCAGGAGAGGGCGTGCAGGCTCTGCAGACGACCCAGCCGGAGCCTCAGACTTGGAGCCCGCGGCTGCTTCAGAATGGCCTCAGCACTTTCTGGGAGAGATGGCTCTGGTTTAATCGTATCCACCCAAGGTGCTGGCAGGTGGCGTGGTGAAGGGCGCTAGACTCCAACATGGCTGACTGCAGTTTGAGTCCCGGACCTGGTGGCTTGCTTTCTCACTTTCCCTCTCTCTCACTCTATCCCTCTCCAATCAAAATTAAAAATACTAAATAGAGTTACATAAAATAATTATTTTTTAAAAATTTCCCCCCCAAATTTATGTAATGAAGTTTGGTTGTGAGGCATTCAAGGGTTCATTTACCTAAGGGACCAAGAGGTGGGACCTGTGGGGCATGACCAGGACCACGGCTGTCAGGGGCCTCTGTGGTCAGACCCTGACGGAGTTCCAAGGAGAGGGAACAAGACAGAACAGGGACACAGCCACACGCCCACTCCTGGGCCTCCAACACCGTGAATGAAACAAATCTCGATGTGTTTAGGTTTTTGCTGAAAGGTGTGTGTGGTGCTTGCAGGAGACAGACAGTGAAAGGGAAAGGAGACAGCACCACCCGGGGACGGTCACACCGCACCCTCCCCTCGCTCTCCTGGAGTTTGGACGCGTGCACATGCGCTCACTGAGATTATTTATTTATTTTGGAGAGGTTTTTGCTATAGGGCGTGTGTACTCGCCAGACAGAGAGAGACAGAGAGACAGAAAGCGAGAAATCACTCCCAGGGGGGATGGTCACGCCGCAATCCCTTCTCCTCCATTCTCCTCTTGGGATCTTGGGCACGCACACACATGCGCCCGGCGTGAGTTTTAAGCCATCGGGCCCGGGACGCGAACCGCGGTCGATTATGTGGGAATCCAGCAACATAGCCATTACGCTAACTGCTGGTTCCATTATGTATCTACTTTTTATGAATGGCCATTACGCTAACTGCTGGTCCCATTATGTATCTACTTTTTATGAATTTATCTTATTATTATTTTTCCAGAGGGCATATATGCCCACCGGAAAGAGGCAGAGAGGGTAAGTGAGGAAGCACTCCCTATGGGGAATGGTCACGCAACAATCCCTCCTCCCTCTCCCCTTCCTGTTAGGATCTTGGACATACATGCACTCGGTGTGTCTGTCAAGCCACCGGGTCAGGAACTGGAACCACAGAACTGGCCACGTGGAATCAGCAGCCTTAGCCACCAGGCCATGTGCCGGCCCGCCCAAGTTTGGCAGTTTGAGAAGACATCACGGACGCGGGAAGTGGCGCACAGTCACTCGCTGCAGGGCCAGGCTGCTCCTCTAGAGCCTTTGGCCTCTCTGGTGTGACTATCTCACCATGTAACAGGAGGTGCGGTGTGTGGGGAGGCAACACGTGCCTGAAATACTGCAAGTTTCCCCCAAATTAAAGAATTTGAAACACACAAATCCGAAAGCTGGCAAAAAAGCAAAGCTCTAAGAAGTGCATTAAACGGAACCTTTATCTGCCAGGAACAGGGACGAGTGACCTAAGTCCCATGGCCTGAGACACCAGGCTCCTGCAAGAGAGTCCTGAACAAGCACACAGCCACCACCAGGTGGCGCTAGGAGTGCCGCCCACTCGGGTGCGCAGAGTCGGCCTCGGCCTGTGGACTCTGGCGAGCCGGCGTGCCCTCCCTCCCCACAGTGACCTGCAGCAGCGACGGGCGCAGAGCTGCACACTGACCTGGCCAGGTGGAACCAGCGATCGGAAGGGCATGTTTCCCGGCTTTGGCTTCATCAGAAACAAGGAGTTCTGCTCGTTGCTCAGACGGGGCCGCTGCTGGGGCAGGTACGATGGCAGGCTCGGCTTGCTCTGGCTGGGCCCGGGGCCGCCTTGCCCACAGACTGCCTTGTAATGCGAGAGGGGCTTCGTGTTGCCATAGTCCAGCACTGCCCCTGGGCTGCCCACGGAACTCTGACTCAAGCCGCCGGGCAGCTGGTGGCTCAGCAGGCTGGGCTGGGGGTAGGCGCCTCCAGGCCGAGGGGAGCTCTTGCTCACGCCGGGCACCGCGAGCAGTTTGGAGCTGAAGTCCTGCTTGTAGGTGGAGGGGCTGGCGGGCTTCTCCACAGGGTAAGGGACATCTAAGGGGCTGTGGGAGGGAGCTGCCTGCTGCCACGTGGACAGCTGGCCTGGCGCTGATGCCGGGGCGGCCTGCTGTGGGTTCGGGGGCATCTGCTCGCGCTTCTGCTTGGCAGCGATCTGCTGGAGCTGGTGGGCGGAGGACGGCTCTGGGGCAGCTCCCGGGCCCTGGCCAGGCAGCACCACGCTCGCCAGGGCTCTCTGTGCACCCTGGGCCTGCACGGGTGCCGGCAGCAGGCCGGAGCTGGCGCTGTCCGCCCCAGGCTGAGCAGGACTGTGGAACAGGGCCCGCGGGCCCCCCAGGCTGGCTGAGTCCGTGCTCACAGAGGCAGACGTGGGCCCCAGGAAGGTCTGTCCTGCAGACCCAGCCCTCGCCTGGGGAGCGCCCACCTGCTCGGGCTCGAAGGCTGCAGAGGAGAACTCTGTCTTAATGCTGACGTCCTGGTTCAGGGCGGTCTGGGCGGCCGGGCCGGGCTCTGGGCCCTTCCTCTCCTCGAAGTCCTCAGTGAACAGGTCCTTCATGTCCTCGTCGGGCACGGACCTGTTCAGCTCCTCGATGAGCTCCCTCCACTCCTGCTCGTTCAGGTTGAGGTCGGGCATGAGGCTGCTCTGGGACAGGGGACCCCCCGGCCCGGCGATCATGCACGGCAGGTCCTCGGCAGGCTCCTGCTTCAGCTCTTTACTCAGGCCCAGGGCGAGCGGCTCGCTGGGCTGGCTGCCTCTCTGGTCAAATTAAAATAAAGTTAAATAAAATAATTCTTTTAAAAAAATAGCATTAGAGGGCCAGCCCTGTGGCCTAGAGGTTAACAGAGGCAGATCCTACATGTCTAACCGCATAGTTTGAGTCTGGGCGCTGGCTTCTTGTTAACAGAGTCCAGCCCCAGAGAGTGCTTCCCGCTGGGCTGGAGGGCGTCTCCCCCAGGGGGCTGGTCTGGCTGGCCCAGTGGGGAGGCTGGGGGCAGCCCGTTGGAGGAGACCAGAGGTGCCTCCCGGCGGTTCTTCTTGTGCCCAGGAAAGAGGTCCCCGTAGCCGTTGTGCTGGTCACCATGCTGAGGCGAGGCAGTGCTGTCCAGGTTCCTCTTCACTGTATCGTGGAGGTGCTGAAAAACACGGGGGACAGTGGCTCAGACCCAGCACCACGGGGCGGCCCCTCTGCCCGTGACAGCGACGACTCTCGCCACTCTCTCCTGTGGGCCGTGCACCCACATGCTGCACCGCACCTCTAGAAACACTCCTCCACCCCACGGCGTCACCGCCCGCCAGCCCTGACCCTGGCCAGCCAGCTGGATGCCAGCTCAGCCGGGAGGCGCTGGCCCTGCACGCCTGCAGCCCTCCCTCTGCAGGACACACATCTGAGGCCTCCTGCGGGCCTCCAGTCTGAGGGCTGCCTGGGCCGGCAGGGGCATGGTGGTTAAGGTACTACCTCTCCCCTCCATGCTGAGCTGCGTCCTCACAGCCACCCACGCTCCGCCGTTCCAATGCTTTCTCCCCCACCCCGACTCCCAGGCATCGTGCAATCCCAGCAAAGCTCGCCCCTTCTCAGCCAGACGGGTCACTCTGGCACCAGCAGGCCCGGCCTCGTGTGTGGCCTGGCCCTTCTCTTCCCCGCCCCCCGCTTACTCTTCATCTGGCTTCCTCCGACTCGGCTCATTACGGCAACCTCGTGCCCAGGACGAGACGGTGCCTGTGAGGACGTGGCTACGGGGCAAGAGCAGCAGGTTGGCTCCACGCCACGTGGCCGGCTGCATGTGTGTGCCCCAAGCCCCACAGGATGGAGACATGGGGGAGCAGGGACTGCGGCGTGCCTGCACCCTCTCCCCTTCTCCGCCCCTCTCTGGTGAACAAATGCCCTCTGGCAAATAAACAAAACCGCCAGGACAGAGTGGGGTAGCAGTGAGTGCCCTGTGCATTCAGGCCGAAGGGCCGTGGGTGGAGAGGAGTGGTGCTGCCCTAGCTCAGAGCCCACTCCCTCCGAGGGCACTCATGCCCCCTCGCGGGGCTTCTGGCCCACGTCTATGTCTACGTCGTCCGTCCCCCTCGTCCTAGTTCCACCCCTGCTCCTAGGGACCCTGAGCACCTAGTGCACTGCTGAGGACGGTCACAACAGCAGCTCTGGTCGGGAGCAGCACGCAGCCCTCTGTGCTGGGCCATGTCCTCGGTGGCAGAGAAGGGCCCAGTGGACCGGCCACACTCAGCCCAGGCACCAAGCACAGGGGCCCGGGCACAGCACTGAGCAGCAGACTACCCAGTGGACACCAAGGACAGCCCCTCGGCCGCCCAGGCCCTAGTTGGAGCCGCCCCACTCCTTCTCTCCCCAAGTCGAGATTTCTACATGTAAGAACGTCAGAGCGGATGGCAGGTGCTGCAGACAACCCGCTGCATCCTTCTTCAGACCCATATGGAGGTCCCTAAGTCGCTGGGTTTTTTTGAGAGATTTTTTGCTATAGGGTGTATTGCACTTAACAGAGAGAAAGCAAGTGAGAAATGAAAAACAAAACAAAACAAAACCACCACTGTGGGATGCCCAATAAGTGGCCCTGCAGGCAGGGCAGGAAGCTGCAGTCGGGGGCCCACCGAGCACTCTCCCGGCAAGGGCACCTGCTGTGCTTTCTCGCAGGGTCTCTGCTTCCTGCTGCCACCTAGGGGTAGCTGTGGGGAAGGACCCTTGCTCCTAAACGGACCTTCATAAAATCGTTGAGAACGAAATTGTTGAGAAGTCCCCTTGGGGAAAGGAGAGTTCATACCCACTCCCCTGGTTGGAGGAGGTGGAAGTGAGCCGCTCCCTTCATACCCACTTTGTTTCTCTAGTACTATTTGGTTTCGCAGTCCCAGGTCTGGGCTCTCTAACCCTGCAGCTCCACTTCCCTTTCCCTATGAGAGCAAACGACAGGGTCAAGGCAGCTGAGGAGCAGCCGGCTCCCTCCCTTCCTTGCCAACCACCCCTCCAACACCCACGCCAGCGCAGACAGTCCCTCTCACGGGGAGACGGAGCCGACCCACCACTCGGAGACTCGAGAGACGGCTGGAACGGTGCGGGCGGGGCGGGGCATGGGCTGTCAAGGCCCTGGCAGCGTGAGCCTCGAGCACGCAGGAGCCCTGGGCACGTGGGGCGCTGCAGGGAAGGTGGGCACGGCCACGCCTCGGGGCCTACTCCGGGCTTTAGGGCAGAGCGGGAATAGCCGGACAGGTGAAGAGCAGCCCACAGACACACGGTCTGTGCTGTAACACACCCTGACACTGGCAGCCACAGCCGAGGGCGGTGGCCGGCACCTGGCACTTCCAGGCGCTGGCACAGAGGCTGCCAGGGCGGGTTCCACATGGCCGACCATGGTTCGAGTCTTGGACCTGGAGGCTTGCTTTCTCACTTTTTCTCTCTCTCTCACTCTGCCCCTCTCTGGTCAAGTTTATTTGGGGCCAGGCAGTGGCATGAAGATTAAGGCAGCTGGAGCCCATATGGCTGACTCTGTGGTTCGAGTCCTGGACCTGATGACTTGAAAACCATGCCAGCATGGATGCCCAAAAGCCCAGGAGGAGGGTGGAGAAGGGATTGTAACATGGCCACCCCCAGGATGATTTCTCACTTCTGTCTCTCCGGCAAGCGCACACACCCCATAGCAAAAACTTAAAAAAAAAAAAAAAAATGGAGTCCTTCCCTCCCTGAGCCAGGGCAGAGACAGAGGGGCAGCAGCTCCCAGGCGTGCATGCTCTGACCGGCCCAGCCCTGACCCCAGGCCTGTGCAGGCACCGGGGAGGCCGCTCCCAGGTGCCACGTGGACTGCCTTGCGGAGTGCCGTGCCTGACTGCTGCACCAGCCATCACCCTGCACTCGCCAGGACTCAGCTTCCACGTCCCTGTGCCATCGATGCGTTCTGCTGTATTACGGAAGATTTCAAGTGCAGGCCAACAGAAGAGCCCAGCGAGCCCACGGCTTCTTCCTCCAGGTGCACCAGGAGCCACAGCTCCCCTGCCATGCGTCAGCACGTCCTTCTAAAAATGAAAGCCCCGGGCCGACCCGTCGTGCAGTGACTGAGGGAGCCTGATCCCCCGCGACCAACCACTGTTTGAATCCTAGCCTCAGAAGCTTGGAAAACACGCCCGGGTGTGTGTGCCCAAAATCCCGACAGGAAGAAGAATGGAGGAAAAAGGGCCATAGTAGGCCATACCCCACGGGGGTGCTTTCTCCCCTCTCTGCAAACACACACCCTGTGGCAATGCTACACAAGGATGTATACAAAAGTTCATGAAAAACGAAGCAAAACAATAATGAAATGTTTAAACAATTGCTCCTCGTTTCTTTATTCAGGACCCAGCGCACTGCACTTGGCTGGCTGGCTGGCGTGTTCTTAAGACCCTACTAAGCACCAGTTCTCGATCCCCTTTTCCCCTCGCCGTTTGTATGTCTGTTAAGTTGTTATTTGGGGCTGGTTTCAGGGCAGAGTGGTGAAGGGAGTCAGATCCCACTGTGTGAGGCCTGGTCCCAGGGCTGGAGAAACAAGCCAGGTGCACCCTGAGGGTGGAGGTGGAGGGAGGGGTGCTGCACGAGGCCATGCCCCACCGTGGAGCGCCTCCTCTCTCCGGGGAGTGCACATACCCTCTGACAAGTGTTTATTTGTCTTGTAAAATTTCCCACCTCCACAGTTGGTTGATTGTATTCTCATGGTGTCCCTTAATTTGTAAAGAGTGATTTTTTGGCTATAGGGTGTATGTGCTCGCCAGAGAGATAGAAAGTGAGAAGTCACTCCCCAGGAAGGATGGCCACCTTGCGACCCCTTCTCCTCCATTCTCCTCTCAGGACTTTGGGCGCTCGCACACACATGCCCAGTGTGACTTTCAAGTCATCAGGTCCAGGACCGAAGCGTGGTTAGCCATGTGGGAGTCCAGTGATGTAACCACTGTGCCATCCGTGGCCCCATGGTGTCCTATAAAGCTTGTCTATCCCCGTATGTCCTGCCAGCGAAGAGTGGAAGACCCGATCGCAGTGAGAACGGGGGAGGAAGCCTAGGCACCCAAAGCCGACGGTGCTAAAGCACTTTAAGAGGACCTTCGATGAGGCCAGGTTTGCTTTCACAAGTTCTCTATGACACCGGTGTGGTGTGTGGATTTCAGCCAGAGTGACCAAGTGGGAAAGTGCGGACAGGCAGTGAGACAGAACCCGGGCACGCGTGTGAGAGAGAACAGATGACTTTAGAGCAGCGTGAAGAAGACTTCAGCAGGTGCTGGAGACCGGTGTGTATGAGAGACGAGGGGTAAGGGCATGTCTATCTAGCTTGGTTACATGGTAAGATAGAGCCCCCCCAGAAGAGCAGGGTTCTCCTTGGGAAAGGGCGAGCCCAGTTGTAGCCACAAGAAAGGACTGTGGAATTTTCAGGCGATGCCAAGCATCGGTGAACAGTAATCCTCACTACGAGTTCTAGAAAC